TGTTGGGCTACCCGAGGGGTTGCGCCCGGGGGGGGCTTGGGGCGGGGCTGACTTAAACGGGGTTAACGGTCGGTTCTTAAAATAATCGTGGTTAATTGCCGGTTTTCGTCCGGTTTCGACAACATGGGCGGTATTCGCTTATTTTTACTTTATCATTACTTGATTTGATTTCATAATGGTCCGCAGCACACTGTGAAAAATATCGTGGAAACATCGATTCATCACACTGGAATTTAATAACTAATACAGTAATGATGTTACGATAAAAGTGTAACAGCGATGCAGTGGACATTTTAAAACGTCAGTCTACAGCAGAGTTACCAGATGATTAATTTTACGGATAAATTACGAATTTTTGAGTTTGTTCTGCAATTTGTCGCAATTTTAAACATTTTCTACTTTTACTGTTTTTCCCCTGGCTTAAAAATTCGTTTAAACTCATCGTTTATCACGCTCTGAAAGGACGGGCGCGATCATCTGATGCAATTGGTCCCGGCCTGAATTCCATCGACACATAAATGGTTAGATGCAGAATGAACAGGAGAACATTTCTAGGCACTACGATAAATATACCATTCGATAGAGAGTTTCTCGCGCTACAATTTCATACATATAAAATAGTGAGAAAAGTGTCCTAGGTCTTTTTGATATTAGAAATACTTCAGCTATCTTAATGCTTTGAACACTCCGTTAGTCGTTTTTCTGCCATAATGAAAAATGATGTATTGGTCGAAAACATACCATTGGATAGCCCTTGAAATTCTCTACAAAATGAGCTGGTCACAATATCCAGGCAGGTGAGGCCAGTCATTAAAGATATGGAAAAGAAGCGTTTGGGTGTTATCTAAGCAGCACAGTGTGTCATAATTACAAGAACTCTCTTGTTTTTGACTTTTTCGTAAAAGTTGGAACCAATCTGAATAATGTTTTGAGAATTCTTCGCTCTATCAGGCTATATGGTTTGCAAAATTTTCTCACTAAAAACTAAGGACTTCGGTTTTCAGCGGTCAGGTTTTCCTGCAGTAATGTTTTGAATAGCCCGAAGATTTTTCTATCAGATGAGGTGTATATTGCCCTTTCATGAGAAAAGTTCATAATAAATCTTCTGGAAAACCTGACCGCTGAAAACCGAAGTTCTTAGTTTTTAGTGAGAAAATTTTGTAAACCATATAGCCTGATAGAGCGAAGAATTCTCAAAACATTATTCAGATTGGTTCCAGCTTTTCGGTATTCAAGTTCGGTATTCAGGCTCTGACGACGTTGTGTTACCATATTTCTTCAAGTCCTTTGGATTATAAGTGAAGATGTTCCTCCTTATCGAACTGTTGAAATTGATCGTCTAGCGATAACTGACGAGAAAAAACAGTTTCTTTCTTTGAGATGCTACTCTTGTCAAAGTATCGCACTAAAAGTTTTCTGTAACCTAAAAAAGTTGACCGCGAAACTTGGAACATTTTTATCAGACTACCTATTATCCCTAAAAATCATGGTAAAAGTTTAGGAACGTTTCGCTTGCTGTTCATTCCAGTATGTAGATTATGACAAAATCAAGAAAATTGCTTTAATTTCAGAACTTTGCTTCAAATGTACATCATGATTATTAACCGTACTATTGAACTTAAACTCCGAAGAATTTGTACTTCTAACAATCTATTTTGAGTATTTTTTTACCAATGCTAATATTCTATAAATGTTAGTCTTATATGTTAATTTTATATTTCTTGTTTAATTGTTGATGCAATTTAGAAGATGCTTTAATCAATGCATAACTCCATCTTAACATAACTTGGTAGAGATCAACGTTTTTGTTTCAACTTTATTTAACTATTTCAGTAAAATTGAACTATCTCTAACAGATAATAGAAGTGAAAAACAATTACTCAAGTTATACTGAATGAAGTTAATAAGAATAAAACAAAAAACACGAATAGTAAAAAAGAAAAATAGATAAATAAAATTATAACAAATTTTATTTTTATTTTTATACTTATTGTGTTGCCCTGAGAGTTCTTCAAGATGGTAAAATTTAGATGGTATCATAGATGGTAAAATTTTTCTACAATTGCACCGGCGAAGAGATATAACCAATGAAGAATAAAAACGTGAGTAAAGAGTATATTGTTATCTGAAGCTGGTATGAGGTTTAAGTTCATTCTAATATTCGTTGTGTTTCTATGATTCAATAGCCACCTTGAGCAAATTGACGAAATTCTTCTTGATCCAAGCTACCGTCGTTATTGATATCAGCTTGTCTGAAGGCAGCAGCTGCTACGTCAAACCCACCTGATCCGTATCCGCTCGTGGCCCAGCTTTGAGACCCCGACGCTAGACCGCCGTCATATCCATAATTCGACGCCCCATAATCGCTAGCACTTTCGAAGCTACTTTGAGCGCCATAACCACCTGCATATTCTGAAAATTCAAAGTAAAAATAAATTAGTATTTCTGAACATTTCTAGTCTTCCTTCAGCTAACCCGAATCCGCTCCCCATTGATCATAGCCTCCTACTGAGGCTGAATTGTAACCTCCCGCACCACTTGCTTGAAAACTTCCAAAGGCTGATGAATGGTAGGCAGCTCCGGCTGGAGTTGACTAAAGCAAAAGGGAGAGAATAAAATATCCATATGTTCTATAATTCTAAGCGGAACCAGTTTCCACTAAAATTTGAGCGAACAACTGTATAGTAGCGATACATTATAACGGCAGAACCTCATCAGATACAGTCGTACAATAAATAAACAGTTTATTATTATAATACAGTCGTGCTTTGAAATGAAACGAAATACATACGATATCTTCGACAACTCCAGCTTGTCTTGCATGTGAAAGGAGTTGAGTTGAGTCTTCTAAACTTGAACCATAACGAGCCACATAGTCTCGAGGATCGGCACGTTGTATACCAAGATTTTTGAATTCACGAATGACTTGTGCACGAGGTGCTTCATAACTACAAGAGAAAAAATGTATTTTATAAATGAAACGAATGAAGATATAAGCCTAGACGTTATACGTACTGAATGATAATATTTCGTTGTCTTTGTTGTCTAACGGGAGGAGCACGTTGTATGATAACACGACGTTTTTGCGATATACGATATGGTAACCAACGCTCGACAACAATATCGCGAGGTTTTGGTGGGAGAGGTGGAAGACGTTCAATGATAACAGAACGTGGTGGAAGTGGTAAAGCCGGGAGCATTCTGGTGACAACTATAAGAAAATTAGAATTATTTTTTATACATATTTCAAGTCAAAAGTAATCATAAAGATTTTTGTCACCTTGTGTTGGGAGTGCTGGTGGTGGTCGTGGTGGATTTTCTCGGATAACAACAGGTGGAAGTATTGGTGGAGGTGGGGGACGTTGACCTATTTGAGATGAAAAACATTTACACATAAGAACAGACCTTGCTGATGATTATTGATACTTACGAATATAAAGAGGTGGTGGTGGTGGTGGTTGTGGGGGTCTAACTTCTTTGATGATGAGAGGCTGTAAGAATTACAAATGCATTTTTAGCCTTAAAGCACATAATTGCTGTCGATGTTGAACTTACGCCTGGTGGTGGAACTGGTGGAGGCTGTAAAAATCGAACTAGAATATTTTGTCTATATGTCACTGGACCACTAGCCGCTGCACGACGTATTATGTGAGGATTGGGATCATTAAAAACACCGCCAGTAGATGAGCCATAAGCAGAAGATGCGAAAGATGATGCACCACCAAATCCCGCTGATGACTGATCATAACCCAAACCATATGATGCACCACCAAATCCCGCTGATGACTGATCATAACCCAAACCATATGAGCCACCAAAATTTCCTCCGGCACTCACATCATAGCCTGATCCATATTCTGATGCATCTCCTTGGTAACTTGAATATCCGGCAGACGAGCCATAAGCATTCGCTCCTCTTCGCCCACCTGCCCAACGCTGGAATTCAGAAAGATCTATGCTACCATCCTGATTTGCGTCAGCTTGAGCAAACATAGCTCCGGCTGCATCAAATTGACCACCATATGCAGCGTTGGCACCGAGATTACCTGAGAAATAAGAGATACACATATACTAATGATAAACAGTAAAGTTTCATTTAGAAAAATATTCTTATTAATTTTGGAACTGGATAAAATATTTTCGTATAAGAATAAAATTTGATTCTTTTAAAGTAATGAATGATATAGTTAAATTAGTGACTTAATTAGCTAATATCTAATTTAATTAAATTTAAATGTAAATACTTACCAGCGCTTCCACTCCTTTGATAAAATTGCCGTGACGAATAAGCCATTATTCTAAAAAATTAATTCTAGTTGTTTATCGTATATTTACCTAATATCGTGTGTAAGCAATCTTATTAATAAAATGGCCCTTTTTAAGCTTAACTACCGCAACTACCGCATCCGATAATAATGCAATAAGAAAAAATGACCTGATGCGCAGCCGGGTGTGGAAAACTATTTTTGTATTTTTTTTCTACGTGTGTATGTGCGTAGACAAAATTATATTATACAAAACATATGTGTACACTTTACTACACTACTATACTTAACAATCATGGACAAATATTTTTATATTCATGATATATTCTGCATTTATTTAAATATCATTAAATGTGAAAAAGGAAAATAGATAATAATTAGAAGAACAAAGAGAAGAAAAAAATTACATTTATCTCGGAGAAAGGTATGAATACTCAAAGAAATTCATATCGATTAATCATTTATATATAGACGTCCATGAAAATCAAACCCGAAAAACAAAGTCTTAATTTGAATAAGATAAAAACTTTTGTAGTTGTTGTAATTATTGATGATGGATTGGTACGGTGTAGAATCTATCGGAGTTTCAACAATTAGATTCTAATGCAAGCTTTATTCTACTCTCATCAAAGGATGTGTACTAGGATAATTCGGTATGAGACTTTTTTTCTTAAAAAGATAAAGACGAATGGTCTCAAAAAAAAATTCTCTTAGCAAATTCGCCAATCCTTGAATATATTCCTTATATAGCATCTTCTCCACATTATGAATTTTTGCCGTTTTTTAGATGTATATTCAATTTATAGCAGAAGTGGGCGAAATGATCTCGTCTTGCGAAATTTTGTAAGATAAGACGAGACAAAATAGGTTTTTTATTAATTATTTGGCAAGACAAAACGAGATGAAACAAGGCAGTTTAGAAAAAAACTTTGACAAAACTAGCTGAGATAAAATTCATTCTTTAATTCGAAATTTGATGCGATTAAATTGAAGAGATAGATAAAGATGAAATGACAACAATTTTCTTTATACAAGACGAGACGAAATAGGTCGTAAAACTTTTTACGAAACGAAACGAGATAGAAATTCTTCAAGACGACATGAGATGGCTGTAGAGAAATTTGTCACCATACGAAATAAGACGAAATAAAAATGTTAAGAAATAAGACGAATTCACCCATTTCTGATTCATAGTCGTAAACTTTATTTCTTTATCCGGGTGTCAGATTTCTATCAGCATGGATAGCATAGATTTGTCAGTTAAACACTAGAATAATCTTTCAATCTCATAAATACATCTAATTTGTTTATATTAGTGATTGCGGTTGTCGCAGGTGTAACGTATCTAATAATAACTGGCATAGTTTATTAATGACTAATCATTCATTCATTTATTCAATACTATCATTTATCAAAAAAAGGAAAAGATTTATTGGTTAGTCCATGGTAACCACATTTATAGGTATATTTCTTTGTGATGTGCTTTTTTTTACACATATGTCGTTTACTTATTTTTGTTTTTCCTAATTCTCTTATCTATCACTCATTTTACCATTTTAAAATATTTATTTTGTCATATAACGATATAAAAATATATATATAGGTAGAAAATAGGTATGTTTCTTTCTCTCATACTATACCAACCGCAAAACGCAACACCTTGATTATTCACCTAGTTATGCTATACAATAAATGCGGGGAAATTATACGGTTGTGTTGAAAAACCTTGTTTTCAAGGATTTTCCATAAAATTATTCATCACCTTGTAAACAATCATCAAGCAATCTATATAAGGTGTTTATTAGTGTGTTTTTCAGATGGAAGTGGAGTCTTTTGTATTTGCCAAAAATAAAAGAACCAATGGTTCTATATTATCTGTGATATCCCGCCTCGCCTGTTTTCTATTTCTTTGTTTTGTTTCTGTTTACGTGTATGTGTTTACAAAAATAAAAACGGTTCAACTTCAAGGTCATTCATATACGTCTTTTATCAAATGAGCGAACACAAAATATTTTGACAAGAGAACAATAGAGTTTTGCACTATTGATTAATTATATTGAAAAACAAACGAATAATAACTAGCATTTAAGGTGCAAGAGTTAAAAAAAGGTTTGGTGAAATAATCACCTGACGAAGACAGTTGCAAGTATAGCTGCTTCATAGATAGTATTTCTTGCTTAAACTAGAATAAGACATGATTTTTTCCACTAGTTTTTGCACGACTTTTTCAAAAACAAAATACGGTTCTCCAGATAATTGGAAACGCTATACACGACTGGCATAGTGGGATCTTGTCGACTAAAACTTGTATATACATGAGAGGGTCTGCGCGAAGTACTCTTCTATGGTATGCAGTTTAAAAGATATGATGACAATCTTTAACAAGTTTAGAAATATATCAGTTAGAAGTCGTTGAAGGGTGAATCGCAAGTTGATAAAAAACAACTAAGGCAGGTCGCTGGTCTAATGACTCTATAGCCTAAACTTTTATTTTATTTACCTCATCACGAGTAAAAAACATACAAAGTCATTTTACACTACTACAAAAGATCCAAGCGATCACAAAGAAGTAGAACGTATAAGTTAGAAAACTTTTCCGAAATTGATTTGTTTGTTTTTGTCAGTCAGTCAATATCAGACTTTAAAAGAAATCTAACTTGTGAAATATGGTCTAAATATGAATCAGATGTTTCTGGTTGCAAAAAATTCGAGATGTTTAGAGAAAGTTTCCTATCAGATGTGTTACTTTGCAATTGTGAGAATCACAATATAAGACTATTATTGTGTACTATGATTTTCAAATTCAACTTCTTGACCAAAAATATGACTTTTCAATTTTTTTCCATCACATCATCACGTTTAGCGGACAATATCCTGAAGTTTTCAATTCATTCTAATGTTCTTTGAATGAATTATGAATTCTTGAATGTCAGATGGTAATAAGCCGAAAAACCTTAATTTTCATAAAACTTGCTCCTTGTTTAGTTTAAAATTCTTTTCTAAAACTACGAAGGTAAGAAGAATATCCGGCTTTGCGGCTGCCGTTACCGGTGTAGGGTGTTGTCGTGGCAGTTTCAATAGCCCGATATCCTCTCTACAGTTCACAAGCGTCTGAAATGGTCACCCATCTCGTTACTAGTCATCAATTGCATCTCTGACCGGAAGGCTACCCTGACGTAGAGTTATTATAAACTTTATTTAATAGAACAAATGTTGAAAAAATCAGTACAATTATGATTATAAGGAGACGAACCCATTACATCTTAACATAAGTTGACTGAGGACAGAGGACAGCACAAGAATGCATATATAGAAACGATACACGACGACGACGACATAAAAAAGAGAAAGTAATAACAACAATAGGATTAAAAGAAGAAGAGACTAACTGATGAGCAAAGGGGAGAAAAGGATATCATGAGATTAGAATCTTTGTGTGTCGCGAATAAATGTAATTACGATATTATATAGTTCATTCATTTCTGTTACGTTTACAGATGTTGCAGGTTTTAGAAAGTGAATGTGTCCAAGAACCCAACGGCTTGTCCAGCTAACGGTACTCTGAATGTTGCTTAGTTATGAAAATACAGCTGTCGTACAAACAGTCCCAAAAATCGATTTTGGAGCTATCTGAAAAACGTGTCTAAAAGACTGAAGACGCGGAGGCGAGAATTCAACGAGTATACCAGTTTGTAGAAAATTGTTTGCTCTACAAGATGTGACAGCTTTCAAAGTTCGAAACTATTCTAATTAATCTGTATTAATCAAAGAAAAATAAGAAAAACCGTCACGGTGTGACAAAAAACGGTCAAAAGTGTGGGGGGTTCTAGATTTTTCCCATAGGTGATATTTGCTTGGGAGTAAAGGTATCGTTTACTAGAGCGTTCAAGTCATTTTCAAAGGTAGTTCGTATTTGCTGATAATACTGACACTCCAAGAAGAAATGCTGTACTATTTCAGCTTTTCCACAAGCACACTGAGAGCTACTAACTAAGTTCTTTTTATGTAGGTAATCATTCAAGCGCGAAAAATTTACGCGCATTTAATTAAGAATCATGCCATATTTCTTTCAATGTTTTTGAATCTCGGTCATTTATAGCAAGGAAAAAACTAGTCGTTTATTGGAGAACGGAATTTTCTTAAAGTTGAAATTGTGGTAATAGCAGTAGGTAAGGCATTCTATTGCTTAATTGCCCGTGGAAACAAAACACCTTTATGGGTACGGTATGCGTTCATGCGTTTGTTAGAAGCAGATCGCAAGGTCATAGTTGTTGTTGCTACTGATCTTGGTATTCTATCAGCCAGAAAAAGTAGAGTAAGGCCTGTAAATATTTTGAATAATAATAAAATTTTGTGCATCGCAAATAGATGTTCAAGTGATAGCCATTCTAGTATGCTGCAGACTTTATCTCGCAAACTAAGACGCATAGCACCACTAACAGTCAGTGCAGCATCGTACTGTAGTTTTGCAATTGATTTTAAATAAGTAATACATTGGGCAAAGGGGTATTTGCAGTCTGAATCTCTTTCACACATGCATAGATTACATCTGCATACTTAACACTGGCAAAATATACGTATTCTTTCGCTCAATTACTTGAGCACCCCATACACATTTCATTAACCACGTACTACCTTTCCGGAAAGCCACGAGGACTAGCCGGAGAAGCTGTATTGTACGTCACAACGTAGTGGGTATGCTGTCAGACGGGTGATCCGAGGCACTAAGACATAAGTAACTTGTCCGAGGTTATTACATGACTTTGCTAGCGTCGAGATTCGAACACAATACCTTTGACGTATGCGACCAACAACGTAACCAGCAAGCCACGCTGTCCAAACACGTCCGAACCGCTGGAAATCAAGGTCTCGCCTGACTTCCACTTTTGACGAGAATCCTTTGAATTATTTCCTCATAAAAACAAAACAATATATTGCTACTGCCAGTTATAAAACCATTTTCTAAAGGTCTTCTAGAAAAGCGATTTTTGAAAAAAAATGTCAGATGTGTTTTTAGTTATGAAAAGATGGTCTAAAACCTTGACTATAGAATGGCAGAAAAATCGCAAATCTCTATCACCTGTTGTTCTCGAGTTGTTCAAAAAATGGCCACACGCCCTGTGATTTGAAAAGGATAATAGTTTATGTTACTCTTTTATAATAAAATATGTTGAGGAAAATGAAGAATACCAATGTTGATTAAAAACAATATAGATTGAATAATTAGTTTTTTATTATAATTAATCGATTTACCATGAATGATATTAATATCTCAACTCGTAAGTTTCGAATTGAAATTATTCAATCATTTTGATAGACGTTTTAGTTTCATGCATGTTTGACAACATAATCGTTTAATAATCATTCTTCGTGCGTTAAAACTAGCGCTCGTTCCAGTACTGTTAATCATTCTTTGTATCATTCTACATTGATGATTATATGAAAAGAGATTATGATAAGAGAAACGTATTTTAAAAAATCTTATTGTTCCACATTTTTGTTACCAGCGCATTCCAAACCACCGAAGGATGTACTGGGAATAATAAACTTTTGGATTTGTTATAATTATCGTTCCTATATGGTTTTTCGAAAAACCATTTTAATTTAAAGTATCCAAACGTTACATATGATCTTTTATTTTCTTTAAAATTCTCATCATATCTCAAGTAATACTTAAATAGTTCAATAGCGTAAAAAAATGAGTTGAACGAATATATTTTGAAGATTTTTGTTGATTTTCATTTTTTGATAAAAATCTCAGAGTTTTCGACGTGAAAATTCAAAAGAGAGTCATGAAAAATGCGGTAGCTACGTCTAAAACTCGTTTAATGGCGATTCTAATGAACTAAAAAGATTGGCGTTATCTCTTCATAAAAAAAGCTAGATAGGTTTGCAAAATTGTTTATGAACTTTTTACAGAGGAAGTCCAAAACGTCTATACTGGATAGACCTTTGACTTCAACCTCGATCAAGCATCATTCCCACATTCAGTTTTTAATGTTGAATCAGAAAAAAAACTTGCGAAAAGTGAGGAAACACAAATGACTAAACTTTGAAATTTTTGAAACTAAGCCGTGTTTTCAAATTCCACACCCTCCGAGTTTTTTCAACCTTTCTCATTTTAAAACTTTATCCAAAAAAGTTAGAAATCACATATTCGTGATCAGGTCATCAATATCTATCCCACCATATATAAGTAAACAAAAACAAAATTTACATTAGTATTATTCTATCAGTGTTCTAAGAAATTGATTACTCAAACAGATTATTAAACAGAGTGTAGAATAAATAACTAAGACAGCCTTGCTTTTCATTCATTCTCAGCGAAGTATACAGAAAATCAGTTCTGTGTCATGGACTCCAGTTTAAAACTCATCAAAATAAGTTAAAAGCAAAATACTGGTATTGATCAGATTTCGGTACCCGTGGATGTTTGTTTTGAGAAGCAGTTTGCTAGAAGTTGCTTTTATGCACAAGGATAATCGATATCACGTTTAATACATAAATACATGTTATTTAATTTTTGAAAGAGGATTTATGGTAGATGTAAATGATACTCCATGACGAGGAATATTGTACGATGTGAGTTTTTAAACATAGATAATGATATAATAATTGTCTATCTATATGGTTATGTTTATGATATGTACTTGTCTGAAATTACTGCTGTGGTTGATGTACTGCAGCTGATAGCCAGTGACATTACCATTGATTCAAGAATAGATAAATCGTTTATGTAACGATTTAGTTACTCATAATTGGTTAAATTCAGTAATTGAACTTCGCAGTTTTCTTCACATAATCATTTTTTAGTCTAGAACAGATCTTCTCTACTTTCTCAATGTTTTGCATTCATTTATCCTTTCAATCATCCTTTTTTCGTTTTTTAAAATACGCTCATTGTTACAGTGTACTTAGTTTCAACGATCTGAACTAATTAAGAGGAGGCCTTCCCCTATATGTGTACTCGAACTATGACAGTTTAAAGAGGACACCTGACTACATATATCCTTAAGTTCTTTCGATGAGCTGGTAAGTATTCCCAGAGTTATTAATTAATTAAGTTTAAATTTGAATTAGAATTTGGACAGCTAGTTCCCATTTTGCAAAGCTTGTAGTTCGGTTAAAAATAATCGTAGAAATGTCGTTCTTGCATGGCTTGATAGCCAATGGTCTGTTGTTATGGTGTGATGAAAAAAGTTTTCTTAAGACAATAATTTATAATTAATCATGCTAATAAATACTAATTAATATCACTATGGTGCGTTACACTTTTATTTGCAAATTAACGATTTATTGACGGTAACGTAATACGTCATTCGACAGAGCTTTCCAAGCGCTACAAATCCCTGTATTTGTCTTTTCAGAATGTTACCGATAAGCGATTATTTGTATTCGGTTTTAGGCAAACAGGGTTTCTACTATGGATTTCTGAATAGAGCGGCCACGGATGTTTTTTGAGTGACTCGAGAACGAAAAGAGATAGGGAGTTCGGATTTTCAGCGTTTTGCAGAGAAGGCTTTACTCTATCTTCATACATATTTGATACTAAAAATCTTGGTTTTTCAGACCGTGTACCTAACGGATAAAAACCGATGAAGGTGTCAGATTCTGAACCTGTGATGAATTTTTAATTGTAACATGTTGACTAGATAGCCCAAAGTGTTCTCTACAATTCTGCGCAAGGCCGACCTCTCTATCTGCTATGGTTCTCGATTGGCATTTTTAAATTTTGAAAAAAATTAAATTTAAATTTTTAAATATTAAAAGAACTTAAATTTTGAAAACATCTGGAAGAAAATTTTGAAAATCAGACAGCATTATCCCCCGCAGTCGGCTATTGCACACATTTTTTGTATCAAAAGTTTTTTTACACCATGCACCGTTTTTGGCAAGATTGTTTTCAAAATACTTTTTCATTTCCTAGCAAAATACATGCAAAAAAGATTTTGTAACTCGATTTTGATGACTTTTTTTACGTTTGTGATCCCATAAAGGGGAGTTATTGTGGCGTGGCCTATCGAACCGAACAACATATCGAAATAAATCGGGGGAGACTCCCCCTTAAGTATTACTTGAGATATGATGAGACTTTTAAAGAAAAAATAAAAGAACCGATAGTTCTATATTATCTGTGATATCTCGCCTCGCCTGTTTTCTATTTCTTTGTTTTGTTTCTGTTTACGTGCATGTGTTTACAAAAATAAAAACGGTTCAACTTCAAGGTCATTCATATACGTCTTTTATCAAATGAGCGAACACAAAATATTTTGACAAGAGAACAATAGAGTTTTGCACTATTGATTAATTATATTGAAAAACAAACGAATAATAACTAGCATTTAAGGTGCAAGAGTTAAAAAAAGGTTTGGTGAAATAATCACCTGACGAAGACAGTTGCAAGTATAGCTGCTTCATAGATAGTATTTCTTGCTTAAACTAGAATAAGACATGATTTTTTCCACTAGTTTTTGCACGACTTTTTCAAAAACAAAATACGGTTCTCCAGATAATTGGAAACGCTATACACGACTGGCATAGTGGGATCTTGTCGACTAAAACTTGTATATACATGAGAGGGTCTGCGCGAAGTACTCTTCTATGGTATGCAGTTTAAAAGATATGATGACAATCTTTAACAAGTTTAGAAATATATCAGTTAGAAGTCGTTGAAGGGCGAATTGCAAGTTGATAAAAAACAACTAAGGCAGATCGCCGGTCTAATGACTCTATAGCATAAACTTTTATTTTATTTACCTCATCATGAGTAAAAAACATACAAAGTCATTTTACACTACTACAAAAGATCCAAGCGATCACAAAGAAGTAGAACGTATAAGTTAGAAAACTTTTCCGAAATTGATTTGTTTGTTTTTGTCAGTCAGTCATATCAAACTTTAAAAGAAATCTAACTTGTGAAATATGGTCTAAATATGAATCAGATGTTTCTGGTTGGAAAAAGACCAACACGTAATTTTTTTAATACTAAAGTTAGAAAAAAGCTACTTTTTTATCACGCTTTAAATGAATAATGAAGATTGAGAAATTAAATTATCTAAAACCAAGTTAACATAATATGATCGCTCAGTTGTCACCGGTGTTTTCTTTTCTGTCAAATACAAGTTTCTCTCTGTACACGAAAAAAAGCTGCATTTTCTGAATTCTTCAGAAAGATAGACTTAAACCTTATCGCTTTATTCATTTTTGCTACATAGTGATGCTATTGTTTTCTCTAGTAAATCCAACTTGATACAGATAGCTCTTAGGTTTTTTAATGTTTAATATAGAGAATTGAATGTGACAGTAAAAGGCAGGTGATTGCCATATCCTGATTAATTCGCACAACAATAAAACGATTCACCACCATTTAGATCGATAAAACCAGTTTTATATGTGACTTTGTTCAATGTGTAACATTTGCACATTAATTAAAGTTATATATAAAACTGGACAGAAAAAAACAAATGTCTTAGCAGTAATATCCGAAAAAAAGCATGAGAATGTATTAGAAAATGGAAGTAGAAAAATAGTAAAAAATAATGACATGAAATAACAAACGAGTTTCCGAAAGAAACATCACTCAACTTTAATCACTTTTTTTAATCATATTTTTTGAATTCCATTCCATCCGGTGTTTGTAATTCAACCTTTTTTTTGCTAACTTCATTCCAATCCATGGATAAAACTGTGCCACCCGATTCAGAATAAGATTTGTTCATTGCACGCTTTGTTTCGTCCGATGCATCTTTATACAGTTGTGAGAATATTCTAGAAAAGTTTCACGTAAAAATAAATTAACAAATAACATGGCAGAAATGATCTCTTACGAATTAGCATCGCTTTCTTCTTTATTGTCTTTTTCGTCTTTTGCAATTTCTGCTTCAACTTTATTCCAATCTTTACGATGTATACTTGATGATGGATATGACGGCTGTTCACTAGTTGTCGGTTTATTCATAAGAGCTGAATGGAATTACGAAAACTTAAGAAATATGTTAAGCTTATATAAGGGAGATGGGGTCCCCCCATTTAGATTTGGTTCTTTCCCAGATTGTAGAGAACACTTCAAAAGCCTGTAGTTTCTCTGCGGGAAGGCATTTTGGAATGGAAATGTGAGTGTAGAAGTTGTTTAACATGTTTTTTTCTATGGGATAATACTTTGTTGTCGCTAAATTTCTTAATGTCAATCTTTAAAATTGAAAATACTGAGATGCTGCACTGCGGAGAAAAGCCGCTCAAATTTTGACGATATTTTCTCTTCTCTCCTGAGCCAGAAGTATCCAGAAAATCTGAAACTCATAAAACATAGCCACTTTCACATACGGAATCGAACGGAAGTGTCAAACATCGAAAAAATTAAAGATTTTTGGTGCTGGTTTTTTAGTTCCACAGCGCAAAATCGGCAAGGATCTTGAACCAAGTTTCGTTCGAAGAAAGCATTTTCAAGCAAAAGTGTGAGTACAAAAGTTGCTCAGAATCGTATTCCAGAGTTCCTCATGCGAGCTTTTCTCGAAAAACTTCTTTCCAGAGTTCATAATTGAAATATGTGAAATTTTACGAAACGTAGAATTTAATTTAATGATTTACAACAAACTTTTAAAAAAGCTCTCGTGAAGACTACGGAATTCGATTCTGAGCAACTTTTGTACTCGGAGCTTTGATCTAAAATGCTTGGTTCGAGCGCAACTAGCCGTAAGGCTTTCTTCAAAATACTTTTAGCTCTGAAACGCCATCGGAGAGGTAAAACTTAAATTTCTACATCAAAACTCCATCCGATACTTATTTTGAGTTTTCTTTCTTATACAATTTAATGTCCTCTATCGAACTACGCTAAACTCAACTCTTCACATCTATAATTGAAGTTTCTAATGAAAATTTTAAAAATTGGGCAAAAACGTTTGTTTTATTTGAAACTATAAGTCCGCAAAGCGAAAAAATGAAACAAAAACTTCGAAATGTTCTCTACAAGCTGGTAAAAAGAACGGGTGAGGACCCCCCTCCCTTAAGGTGTAAACCTGCTGGCTGTTTTGGCTTATGTGCGGCATCAAGTGTTGTCCATTGAATAGCATCTTTTTTGAACAATTTTATTTCGATCTAGAACAGAGATTTTTTTGCTTGTTAGAACAGACAAAAACAAGAAGAAATAGCATTCATACTTTAAATGCAGTAACTGTAAATTCTGTTCGTTTATCATCGATCGCATAGGCAAGATCGATTTCAAGTGAATAATCACTTCCCGATGGCAGTTTTGCTCCAACACTCAACTAAAATGAGAAAAACAGACTTTGAAAAATTCATTTTAAAAGAACGTATATATACATACCGTTTTCTCGGTTGTTTCAACCTGTACTTGTTCCTTTTTCAAATTTTTTAATGGAATCGTAATTATAACATTTGTTGGTGTTTGATAGAAATCATGTCTATGAAGAAGTGAAATAAGCTACATTTATATAGCTAATTAATAATTTGCTTTGATAATACTTTATTTTGGGAACAATTGGGGCTGAAGTAGATGAATTTTGATTTTGTGCATCATTTTCAACAGTTTTTGATGTTTCACCTAAACAATCAGATATTAAACTCACACATTTTTAGACTGTATGTATTTACCTACTTGCAGTATCAGTCATTTTATCTAGAAAATATTCAGAAGAAACCGTCGTACGTTGATGAAGACAATTTGAAATCTAAAAACAAAACGGATGTTTAATTCTATTAATAAAAACTTCTCATGCAGACAATAAACAAAAAAATTAAATTCTTTGTTTCGATAAGCAATTTTAACAAAAAAAAGTTTTGAACACTAATAAAGTCTGTATTCGACAATAACATAGAAATGAAATTCGGAGTCTAAGAAGTATGATTTATATGAATTAGAAAAGTACTTTTGCCACTTCCAGTACTCATCTATAAAATTTCTTCACGCTCTAGGCACTTTCAACATGTGAAAACAGTCTCTATGAAACACGTGTTTATTATATGGGAAAAAGGAAGTCGTCACTAAACAAAGAAACAGTAGAATTAAAATTTCTTCCTTATATGTAATACTAATATTCTTTTAAAGTTTTTCGAAACATATATATAAAATTGTTGAAGAATCAGGTTTCATACTTAAATGTAGTGTTAAGAGGATGCAGACCAATTTAAGTTACATTGACTCAATACAGAAACTCAAACTGGAAATTTACTTGTCGACGTGCGCATGAGACCGAACGTGAAGTGGCGAGCTGACCAATCAGAAAAGGACGAATAAATTTATTTGTTTTGGTCAAGATAAGATAAGTATTCGATTATTTTTCTGATACCGACCACGATTGTGAATGTATTTTCAGCTTGAATGGCGTTAACACTCGCGATTGCTGCAGAAGAATTATCGAACGCTTATCTTGACCTCTTGGTTGTGAGTAAATAAAGTTAAAATGTTACTGTGTAAGTGCGACCTCTATTTCTCTACTAGTAAAATTTCTCTATTCTTCGAATGAATTCCAATAAATTGAGGCGTAATAATACTACAAAATTGTCTTTTTCCTTGACTTCTTCTTTGGTTTTGTTCACAATACACTTTTTTTCCTGCTTAAACGCTGTTAAAAAAAGGTGACATGAAAGTCTCCCCAAGACCAATTTCTTGATATGTACGTTGCCTGCACATGCACGAACACAGACACGTCGCATACATTTGCAGACATGCAACTTGCAAGCCGAATGCATGTACAGCTGTATGTGAATCAAGAGAAATGCATTAATCCTGCATGCCCAAGATGGATACTGCCAATCAAGCATATTATTTGTATGATCTAACGATCACTGGCGAAAACGCCTTCCGTTCATGTATTCTTATATTTCTTTTACAGTCGATGCTATACAGGTCGTCATCATCTCATGATATACAGCGATAAAAACTAATAATGCAACAGATATTTTTTCCCTAACCACGTGTCTGCACAATAAAAATTGAATCGGTATGGATATTCCAAAATGACAGAAAAATCAGTTAATTAGTGAATTTTCATTCCAGTTTTCATTTTTTCTTTAGTGTTAATTAGCACTTCTCACACGACAGAGGAAAATATCAAGTGAAAAACTTTGAAAAATAGCTAAGTATAGTATATATACAAGTAAACTGTAATGTTTATATGATTGTTACGCTGATAAAACAAAATGGTGAATAGAAAATCAGAGAACAGAATGCATCTTGCCAGCCCGAAAAATGCATGTCGCTTGAAGTACAGACAAAATTCATGTATTTTGCTGTCAAGCAGGGTGCCCGTATACAGAGACGCCAATCACGTTTCTGACTCGATTCTAGCATGCCTGTATAATGCATGAGATGGATACTGTGAATCAAGCATGCCCGAATTGCAAAAATAGACTAATCTTGGGTCATTGTAAAAAAATGTCTCGCGTCTAACTAGGTGGTCAAGTATCTAATCGTGTTTCGAGACGCTAAAGTGTCTAAAAATAAGACGTTTGTGACTGTGATGAGCGAGAACTTCTATTCAAAATAATGTATCTTTTATTCATTTTCTTTTCCAAGATGAATCAGGGAATACGAGTGTAAAACAGCTTCTTTGGCAACACATTTATCTCTAAGTGCTTGTACAGACTCTGGAGGGTGTTTCATAAAAATTCTTAAATGCTCGACTTACCTAAGTCTAGACTTAAGTGTATAAAATTAACACGTAAGTGTACAAAACGGAGACTTAAGTCTAGACTTAGTTAAGTCGAGCACTTAAGAATTTTTATGAAACACCCTCTGAATCGAGAGCGATTCATTAGCTCTGATTACGGCAATTATTTCGAAGAATCGCTTCTTTGATCTGATTGTTTCTGAGTTCTTGTTGCATGCATACTACAATAAATAAGTCAGACATGGAGTCAAAATAAATTTTCCTCCGTTTATGGGAATCTATTTACTGTGATTTTTAGTATGAATGTAACTCTCTTCTCTATTATTGCTTTGTTTTCTAGCTGTGATGTTCGTGTAATAAAGTATTGTCTTTTTGTAATTATTAGTTTTTATTATTAGACTTCATATAACAAAATACAACGATAGAGACAATATAATCAGTAAAAAATAGTTATGGACCCAATTATAATATGCATCTATCAAAAACCGTCATTTCCCTAGACTGTCAATAGAAAAATGACATATGAATTGCGCTGCAAAATAGGGAGATTTTTGACAAAATAATTACAAAAAAACAATGCTTTATTAAACGAACATCACAGCTAGAAAACAAAACGATAATAAAGAAGAGAGTTGACATTCATACTAAAAATCACAGTAAATTGACTGTGATTTTCAGGATTATTAATAGATTCCTATAAACGGAGGAAAATTTATTTTGACTCCATGTCTGACTTATTTATTGTAGTATGCATGCAACAAGAACTCAGAAATAATCAAATCAAAGAAGTGATTCTTCGAAATAAGCGCCATATATCGACTTCAGAAACAAAAAAATTTCAGTCAGCTCGATCGATTTGCTTGAAAGTGGTCTCATTCGAAGAGCACATTGAAATCTAGCAAAAACGCGTTTAAAATTTTGATATCTCAAATTTTGCGCAAAGAACTGCTAGAAGAGCGAGAAACAATTGGAAAAATCGATTAAATCGGGTCCGATCCAAGTCACTCTTAAGACTGAAGAATTGACCAATTCAAACAAGCTGTGCTCATTGAAGATATACACATACATGCCGATCGGAAACATCGGATGAGAAACAAATTTGACAAGAATGCCGTACTGTTCTATTTGTGTCTTCGCCTGAAAATTGTTCTTGACCTCGCTATGTATAGTATCATCAGGAGCCACTCCTGACTTGATTCCAACACAGAACTCACAAATATATTGGCAGCAACAAAAGTATTTTATCGGCCCTCATCCCTTTTGAGTACCATGTTTCATCGACTTATCCAATCGGGTTGAAAATTTTCAGGAAATACTCACCTATTGCTATCCACCACCTATAAAAACTTCAGCTTCGAGACATCAGAGCTGATTCATGCTCCATTGTTTAATGACTGAGATTCTCACAAGCCCATGGTACATGATTCTTATCCAAAATATTTTGGACCGAATGGACCGAATTTGAGATACCAAGATTTTAAACAAGTTTTTGATAGATTTCAATGTACTCTTCGAATGAGACTACTTTCGAGCAAACCGAGCGAGCTGACTGAAAAATTTTCATTTTTGAAGTCGATAATGCTTTTTTCGGCTGGGTCTGCATACCTGTACTGCCTTATCTCGTGATAGGAGGATTTTGATATTATGGTTGAATACATTTGAACGCATTTGATAGTATTTGCGGTAAAACATATTGGATAGATCTGTAGTAGTTAATGAGAAAATATGATTCTACTAAGCGGTACTACTCTCAAAAAAGTGAAAAAACAATACAACCTTCGATGGTTCTGGCGACAATATCAAATTCTACCAATAGCGGGCTATGCAGACAAAATAATACTCGGTCTAAAAACCATCCTTATGCTCGCAACTTCAATGTCGAAGAAAATAAGTGTAGACAAAGCAAAAAAGAAAAGATATGTGCAAGAAGTACGGTATTTGAAGGTAAGAGCGTGAATATAAAAGTTACACAATCACAAAATAAATTGTAAACAAGTGGAAGTCCTACTGTAATCCACCGTGATAAACTAATGCAATTTTCACTAGAACTTTAGAATCTCTGTGTGTTTCAAACTGTAAATATGGTTGTCAAGTGAATTATGATTGAATTGCAAATTCTAACTGTAAAGCTTTTACTGTGTAACAAAATTTTTTATTAAAAGCACGGGTTCTGCATAGCAACAATAGAAGTTTAACATCGCCTGTCAAAAAGTGCAATATGCAAATCATATCGTTCGAAAGGTGTTAAATCAAAGATTTTGCAACTCTTTTCAATTTTTAGAGAATATATTCGATTGTTAAGAACAAAGTCGGTGTAATGACCACGAAACGCATTGCACCGTTTAGTGACTTTTTTTTCTATGATACACACTGGTAGGCTTTAGTTTAATCGAAATGGCTGTTGACAGACCAAGAGTGGAGCAGTGTCTTTCAAAAACATGATTTTGAAATTATTATAAAGCGGGCCGCAGTGAGTGAGTCGGATAATGTAGGTATACCGATTAAGCTGTGTCAATGTTCAATGCATTTTGAGTCAGATATTGTTGAGAAAATTGCTTATGAAAAACAGTATTTTAGACAAACACTGTCAATAGCCTTTTGCTGTCAGTTGCGAATCTGGCAATTGACCTAGGCTAGTTTTGTGTAATACAATATGAATGCAATAAGACATCAACCAAAAAACGAAATATTATGTATTACGAAAACTACAGTTAGACAACATTAAACAAAAAACTATATCGAAAAAAGCCTAAATCATAATAGTATAACAAAATATATAAAAATAGAGAAACGCACAGACACAAGAAACGTTTCATTGATTGTTTAGTAACAATTAACTGAGCAGCAGTCAGCCTAAAACAAGGGAAAAAAGCATAATTGACGTTTCTACAGTAACGTTCAGCGCAGGCGATGAACACTTTTTCAAGTGGCGAGCAGAGTATGAAAAACGATATGTTTGCTGAGAATAGCAGGTTTTTTGAAAACGCTCGTACATTACGGCCGCATTGAACTTTAATTGGATCGCCTCAAAAATTTTACTTTAGCTTTGTAGGAATGTATCTCAGAGATTAATTTTGGAGATCGTTCCTACATGAGTTATAGCAGTATAATAGTTGCTACAGCAATCTATAAAACCGAGGTTCTTGATCTTAGAAACCGTATAACGCCATCGAAAATGTTTAAAAGATAAATCTCTCAGTTCTGCTTTCAGCTAGTATCAGTAAAATATTCAGCTCGATCCGATTAAACTTTGGTGAAGTCATAATATAGTACACCTCAACTGGAAGTGTTAGTACTTTGAGCATGACAGGTAGCATTTGACAGGCTACTTTTTCAAGGTAATTGCGCCGATTCTTATATCTGCGCAGAAAAATCCTTGGAAAATTTTGTGAGATGTTTTATTCTGAAAAGAATATTTTGTGCTAACAGACTATGTAACAGAAAAAAGTCGGAAGACATTGGTGCAGAAAGAAAACTTGGGGTTTGTCTCTCTTTCGGTGGGTAGAGACAGTATAAAATTGCTGATTTCTTTCTTTTTCAAATCAATAGCTTATATCAAACTGAAAGCTTCTTTTAGCAATTTAAAAAGCTTATATCTTTACTCTCGTTCCTCATACATTTTCGACAAAATTCCTCAGAATACTGAAAACTGAATAACCGCTAAACTTTTGACCAACAATCAAGATTGCATTCTCCACCTTTTCAACTATTGTGCGCTATTTATTTTAATAGCAAAACGACATGCAAGTATCGAGGTTAGTGAATTTTGTAGAATGAGAAATTCTCTATCTGATGAGTTTAGAATGGAAATTTGAAACTGGTTGCGATTATCCCAATTGAGATACAAAAGTGAGACATTTAATATATACTACTCGTTACTTAGTTATTTTTTTCTATGTTTTATCGCTGCGTTCATCATCTGAATCCGTGGAAAACGAAGATCCAACGCTTCCTAGAAACAAACAAGAACTTTTTGTTGTACAATTTATAAAGATATGTTTTCAAACTTACTAATAAGTCCCGAAAACTCAATTGATCCTTGACTTGCTTGTGATGATAATTGAAAATCGAATGAATCATAATGAGGATTTGCTGTTGTTGTTTTATTATTGATCATCCAATTTCCAAAAGCAGTATTATCGAAGACAAATGGTGCACTGACATAAGAAGAGGTTGAATGATATTCTTGAGGTGCTATGGAATGTGACAGCAACATGGCTTGTATATCGTTGCTTGTTACACTTGGTAGAATAGACGTTGACGACAATGTTAGTGGTCGATGATGAACTTGTGCAACGGATCGTTCACTATTTATTGTTGTATTTGAAGCAATTGGTAGATTGTCTGGAATGAGACTTGTATGTTGTTGATTTCTAGATGGTATTTCGTTCGCTTTCACGTTTGAATAAACGGATGAGGATAAAGGTGAGGCTATTGTTTCCATTTGAAAAAACTGGGAAAATGGCGATGGAATTGGTCTTTGTAATGAATATCGCGGGGGTGTAGTTAAAGACTCAACATATTCCGTTGTTTCGTTAATCATCGGTAATCCTGAGTTTATATTGACTGGTGACTGGTAGATGAATGATGGTAGTGATGGTTTTATGATTTGTGTTGTTTGTTGACGATTGATGAAAAAATCAGCTGAATTTGTTTTAATCATTTCATTACTTGTTGTTGTTTTCCTTTGTTTCGCTGACTGTTCACTCGATAATAAATTTTTAATCATTTTACTACTGTCTGACACTGATTTTCCGGCTGGCATTTCTTTTACCGACTTTTCAGGAGAAGGAAATACGTAAGACATATTCATATCATTATAGCTGATTGAAGATGATACCATTGGTTGTTCTTGTTTCTCATTCATTGTTGTACTAAATTTCTGTGTTGGTATCAAATCTTTATCATGTAGTGGTGAAACAACTGTAAATGCTGATTTTCTCATCGGATCTTTTTGCACGAGAAATTCTTGAGTAAAATGCATTGGCTCTTGTTTCTTTGTTTTCATCTAATAAAAATAGGATTTAAAAATTTAATACTGATGCCGGTTTGTATTAAAGCAAGAAAATTCTGAGTCATTTTTTTGGAACCAACAATCTAACCGTCGACATTGTTCACTTTCTTTTTCTTTGGTCTCCTTATAGTTAAAACAAAATGCTGAACAATTACCCTTTTTGACGAAATGATAATGTCTTGTTCATCATCGTCAATGACTGTTGTCAAATGTGAAAGTGACGAAGAACGATCAACGATCATAAAATCGTCTGATAAACCAGTTTCATTTTGAGATGACGAATGATATCGACTTCTCTCAGCAATGGCGGTAGTTAATAATTGTTGTTGCTGCTGTTGTTCTTCATCTGATCGAGCAACTACTGTCGTTTCTATTTGTTCTGTATCTTCATTCTGTCTTTTATCTTTCAATGTTTCACTTACGATTACAGATGAATGAATTTCAATCAATTCTTCATGATTGCTAAAATTTAAAGACAGTTGGCAGAAACTGTTTGAAAAAGCAGCCTTTCCTCATAGTTTTTTTATTTTTCGTGAAAATTTTGAACATTCCGTATACGATTAAGCCTATGAGACCCTACCCCCACCCTCACACAGTGTACATCCAAGCGGACATTGAAATCAGCGCACTACATCGAATAGTGTATAAAATGTCTAATTTTTGAGGAAAAAGCTTTTCGACGAAATTTTTGAGCAAACAAGGCGGGGAGATCTCAGGTGTTTTGAGCCGAAAAAATACTTTTTTCGAATTTGTTTGCTTTTGATTGATATCAGTTTCTAGGTACTCCGAAGTCATTTTTATGCGAAAGCCACGACTCCCGATAGTAAAACTGCCCGCCTGTTCTATAGAAAATGCACACTGTACTGTGCTCCACTTTTGAGTTTTTTTAGTTTAATAGCGGTTAGTCGAATAGTAACTCGTCCCCAACCTAACTAATAGACAGACCTGCTACAAAAGTCATTCTGATCGTCTATACTTCTACGTGCTTTCTGATTTACATAGAAAAAAAACTATATAAATCTACTACTCACATAGCACTCCCATCAAAATTAATCTCATGTAACGCGTCATCATTTGAGGTTGGCGATTTTAGAAGTCTAACTTGATTTTCGTCCATTGACGATATCGAATTTACAAATGATTGTTGGCGATTAAAAATATCAGGTAAGAATAACTGTTGTATTTGTGTTATATCAATTTGAGATGATAGATCAATTTGTTGACTAAGAATTAAATCCATCAGATCGGTTTTTCTTGGTTGGATAAATACTTTTTCCTAAAAAATCAAAAATGTTGAATAATAAACATCGATATCAACTACTTTCGATTAAAAAATCATCTACCCATGCTGCTATTTTTTCTTCTTTTATTTTTACTAATTGTCGATGATATGATTTTAATTCATATAACTTTTGTTCATCAATTTCATACATTTTTTGGTTTTGTTGTTCATTAACTACCACTGATGCTAATTGAACAAGCAATTGATTTAATTCGTCTGTTGAACAATATTTATTATATTTTTGATAATAATTATCCTCTTTTGTTTTTTGTTCATGAACAATACACTCTTCTTGTCTGACTAAATTATTATATTTTATCTCAGCTTCTTTCAAATATTGATAAACTTTTGATTGTTCGTACTGTGGTTTTATCTTATTTGTCCATAATTGTTTTGTTTGGTCAAATTTTGTTACCAATTGATATTTTTCTTGTTCATATTTCTTTTCTTCATTGATATAATCACGTTTCAAATATTCAATATGATCATTGAGCGTTTGAATATTCAACTGTATTTCATCAATACGATATTGATTTTGGATTAATTGTGTTTCACGACACATATTTTCTTGTTCAATCGTTTCCAACGTTTTTATTAAACGTATTTTTTCTTCATGTATTGATTTATTACGTTGTTCTTTCTCTAAGAAATCAAAACAGTTGCAAATGTAAATATTCAATTCAAATAGTAGAAAGAACGAACTTTTATTATTTGAAATCAATGCTTGTAATTCAATACGTTTCCGTTTTATTTGTTCAGCTAAAATAAAAATCAACTATTTTGTGTACGAGAATATGTGAAAGTTCTATTTAGATGAAAAAAACTTACTTAATTTTTGAGCAAGAAATTCAGCTTGGGAAATATCATCAGGCTTTGAAGATGAATAAGAAAACATGATAATAACAAAACGAAATTTTAATCTTAAACATAACACAAACGAATGTATAGGGCGAAAAAAGGAATCGACTCCATATCTAAGAATAAATCATTTAGATTATAAAACAATTCCTGATGTACTGTAATCTTGAATTATTTTCAATTTTCTAGCAAATTGACTATAAAACCCCTGAGGATTTTCAAATTTATAGAAAATTCTCACCGATTTTCTAACTTTATAGAAAATATTGATTTTTAAGAGATTTTTGAAAATTGAGTCGATTTTTTAGAAATTTGATTTTCAAGATTCTTGAAAATCAAGGAGGATTTTCTAGTGGAAACCACTTTCAAGATCACAGTGTAGATTTTACAACATGACCTATCTGTCGGTACATCGATTTCAGAAAGCAACGTTTTGAGAATCCTTCCTCCCTCGTGTTGTTTTGTGCTTTGCTTTCCTTCTGTTTTATCCTAGATTCTCTCTCTGTCTCCTCTCGATCGTAAATCATAATTATGTCGAGATCAGAAGAGGAGAGCGATGTCGCCGGTTGCTGGAAACACAATAAACATATCTACAGAAAAGAGCTTTCTGTCTGTCTTAAAACCTTTGCATGCAAATTAAGACTGAACTTGTTAAAAAGGACTTGGAAAGAAATGAAAAACTAAGAAAGAAAGCAACTTCTTTTTTACACTAAAATCAACGTATCTAAGATCTGATAATATTTGCGCACGGAAGACAATACCGAAGTCTCTTTTATTCAAATCTCTCGCTTGTCGAAGTAAACGGCGGAAGAAAACGATGTGGGAATATTAAATGAGAGTTGAAACTACTTTTAAGGTAAGTAAAAAATAGATAACGCAGTTGTTTTTTCATATTGTACATAGAAGACTCTTTTAACAGCCTAAAAACATTTCATAACATTTACACCAAAACTAAGAAGAAAAACTTCTACAGCACATTAGAGAATGGCTTAGCGCATTTATGCGTTGAAAATATAATGGAGACAAGTTCTTGAATAGAAAATTGATTTTTTGTTTTACGTAAGAAAAATTAAGCTCAAACTTTCTTTTCATTGATGCTAGGTAAAGGAAATATGACTAGAGAACGGTATCTTGTCGTTGTTGGAGAGACAAAAGATTTTGAGAAGAAGGGTTTTTATAGATCGGCATCTTTGGAGCTCACTAACTCATACCAATGGTATTTGAGAAAACATTTTCAGAATAAATTTTATTTCTTTGGAAAAGTATGATACTGTTGCATCAGCGAACAACTGACTAGTAGAGGATGCATTCTCTTCCAATTTTGAAAACCTTCTCCTCTGAAAGCTTTTTATTAAGCTGCAGGTTTTCTTTGTGAGAAAAAGACAACAACTTACATGTTTTCACAATAAAAACAGCTTTGACTATGTGAGTTAAGCGCTACCATTGTTTCTATTGAAAAGAGAAATTCAGATAATTTTGATAGAATTGGTGAGCAGCGGATTTGGGGTTTTTGCAGTAAAAGTAAAATTCATGCAACCACATGGCCAGGTCCTACATCTTACACAAATGATTTAGATCCACCATTTAGATATTATTGATTAAACTATTGATCTGTTATTTGTCAGGCCTCACTCGACAATCTCTTGGTAATAGTATCGCTTCAGTTCAAATTTTGAATTTGTATCTTTTCTAATTCATGGATTTATCATTTTGATTAAGTTCTGTATTATCCTATTTGAATAATCAAACATCTCTCAAGTCGACATTTCAGTTAGATTTTGTCATATTACTCACGAGGGGAGGTCTTTAAGTGGATCTCTCTGATTTTTATGGCAGATATCCAACATGGTAGAGTAGAGTGCGCTGATCACAAATCTACAACGTCAGTTACTTAACCTAAATAGCTGAGGAGGTACAAACGTCTTACGAGGGAAGGTCCTCAAGTGTTACTCTTACTTTCAATGGAACATATCCTGATTTGTACAGCTCTACGAGCTGATTACGATGGCATAAAGCATTTTCCCCTATGGCTTTTGAGGACCCAGTTTTTTAGAAAGTCTAAAAGATAATCAAAACCTCTCTTAACGAGGCATAATTGTAGCGCGCACATTTCTGATTAAAATGAGACATCTCCCAGCTCTACACAACCTTGCTTTGCAAAATTATAGAATTTACAAGAAAAGCCCTAAATGTTCATTATCAACTCAAAGCCACAGAAATAAGAAGAAATTAATTTAGGGCTTTTCTTGTAAACTGTTTTTAATAGGATTTGTGTCAATCGTCACAATTTTCATATTGCTGCTTCTTATGACATTTTGTTGAACAGGAAACGTACACAGGAAACAACAAACATATTGCTTTGTTTGCATGAACATATAAGTTAACGCATCTAGTATTTTGTTGGCATAAAATAATGATAATTAGTTTTCCACGCATTTACTCTGACATACTATTTCTACAAATATTGTTTCCAGTTGTTGTTATGTCACTAATGACCATATTACTACTATTGCTGTTGGAAATTACATTCTTACTGTCAATATTGCCAGCACAACTGTTTTCATCTGTAAATTGACTCTCCATGTGAAAGTGTTTTTTTTGTTGTGAAGATTTATTCATGTTTTACTCATCAATATATCTTCTGGTACGGCTAAAATCTCTTACTTAGACGAAATTAGACATGAGAAGATCTTGTTGGATTAATGTCACATTAGTCTGGCAGTCGAATCTTAGTTTGGCCTGAAGAAATTATAATCCGTGTTTGGCCTAGTCCAACCTCAGCTTGGTCTAGTTTTTCAGGTCAATCTCAAATTGAACATCGAGCTTTTCTTTACACTCTAGTTAAGTCTAGTTCAAACTTGGATTGGAGTTTACAGTAGTACAAATACAGATTAAAACGAAACCAGTTACAAACACAAATGACGGAATGGTGTAGGCCAATCTTAGATTGGACGCTGACATATATATGTCTAGCCGGCGTGATAAAGATTATTTTTGAATTATTTTGATCAGTTTCCATTTTGTTCTCGTTTCTGTGATGAAAGACTGGTTATATGTAGTCATAAAAAGTGTCATCCTCACATAGACACGTTGTTCTATGGATGTTTTGTGTAAATCGATACTATTTTAACTCTTTATGTTTGTTTGTTAAGAATTCTGATTTTGGACGCTATAAGTAACAAATTTTTTGATTACTCATCTGAAATAAGCTAACAGAACGTGAGAGGAATGGATAAACTATTTTTTCGACTAATGAACAGAATAGATCTTATAAACAAACCCATCAATGACAACTCGAATAACACGACGAAGAATTAACATTACTGGAAGAACTTTCGTATCTAATCCTTTTGGTTGTGAAATAACATTCTTGATTTTGTTTCAAAATAACGATTATCATCTTCTTACAAATAAATA